CATGACAAACTTGAGATGCGTGTCATGTAACAGCATGACTACATGCTACGCTCATGGTGCACTCGCGGCTGTTTCACAAGCTTCACGTGTACCAAGCTTGGCTTTACACGACTTGAAGTGATGACATAACTAAATGACACATTTCAACATGATAATCACGGCATGCGTGTCATGTAACAACATGACTACTTGCCACACTGATGATGCGTTCGCGGCCGTTTTGCTAGCTTCATATATGCCAAATTTGGTATTACGTGACGCCAATTAATGACGAAGGTATGTGACTGGTGCAAATGTGATAATCATAAGATGTGTGTCATTTGAAGATGACTACATCCCACAGTCAAGGCGCCAATACACTTCAACATGACGTGGTGCACGTGCTCAGCGTCATTCATTTCGTCGCGTCACGCCGGCGTTGCCACGCCAGGTACGATCCTGTCATAAGCCCAAACACCATAAGCGCGAAAATGCACGCGACAGCGACGAGCGACGCGACGTAGATCGCCGTCGCGCGATCAGTCGCTAGCGCTGGCAAACCTCATTCACGCGACGGCTTCGGCGAGCGAATTCCACTGTTGCTGGCATGAGGCCGTCAACTCGCACCAAGGAAAACGCGTAGCGAGCGGTTTCCAATTAAAAAATAAGATATATTGTTGTGTAATGGAACGGAAAGTGTTTATTATTGCCTTGCAGCATTTTTTATATGCGCATGCGTCGTAAACATTGCGTTATTTCTTGTTGCGCATACGTGATTCGGGCAGGGTCACATGCACCTATGTAGTCTTCGTCTTTTCCGGTTTTTCGCTATTGGCTGCTTGAGCCCAGCACTTCCGGGCGATGAGCGACGGTTTCCAAATCTGGAGAACCGAGCGATCGCGCGAAAACGAGCACGCGACACGTCGCGCGAACGCCCTGTTTCGTCGCTCATAGCGTCGCTCGTCGCTGTCGCGTGCATTTTCGCGCTTATGGAGTTTGGGCTATATACTCGCAGGCGCGCGCCGCGCAGAATTCCTTTGACTAACGCGCGTTTCAGTGCGTCCGGCATCCCTTCGTTGCGAAAAGAGGGATACGCAGAGTTGTCTGGGTAACACATCGGCGCGAAATTCAGCATGTTGCATTTCGTACCGGTTACTGGTCGCGCCTGGCGTCAGACTATAGAGTGCTCGCGTTTTGCTAACGTAGCGTCGCTGGGCCCAGCGTGTGCGTGTGTCAACGCTACATTGGAGTATATTGGGTCCTTCATGATGCGCTCGCAGCCATTTTCTAGCTCCACGTATATCAAATTTGGTGTTATGCGACGTCAATGGATAACGAAATATATGAGTGGTGCAAACATGATAATCCTGAAACGCGTGTCATTTAAGAACATGACAACATCCATGCTCATAGCCTGCTCCCGATCGTTTCGCTAGCTATATATACATTCGGTATCATGTGACGTCAGTGGATGACGATGGTAAACGACACATCCAAGCATAAGAATCATGACATGGATGTCATGTACGGCATTATTTACCTCCACCTCGTCATGTTGTGCTGATTTAAAAGTGACTTATCAACATTTCTCATTCGTGCTTCGCATATCATCGGTTACCACTCTGCGTGGAATCTGCCAATTTTTTTTCTCATGAAATAATCTCAATTCAATCGGTTACTCCACCGACGGTGCAGCAACGGCGATGTCATCAATTCAGAAACGTGCGTGTCAGAGCTACTCTCTAAAATAAGTGCCTCAAAAGCTTTCCTAAGATAGACAGCCAACAAGTTGTGATATTGTCCAGCTTTTTTTTTTTTTCAATCACTCATCTTGCTAAAATTTCTTTTTACAGACAGAATATTTAAAGTGATGTAGGACTAACAGTTTGACGACAAATATTACCAATTCAGCCAACAAACAACATTGCTAATGACATAGTATCTCAATGGTAATAATGATGCTTCCATGACGATCTACAAATATGAAAACATTAAAACAAAGGTTTTATTTTGGCAGTGTTAGTTACGCCTATTCATAAGATTTTATGACGAGTGATGGCTCACTGTATATTTTGACCAATATTAACTTTAATGCCGAAGCTGCATCATGGCGTGTAAAAATTCCCAAATATTCTTGTAGCCTTTTTATTGACGCCGATATAAATTATCTCGCGGTATAGTGGCGCCCCCCTTGAAATCTTTCTTCAAATTGAAGCAAAATGTATTCAAGCATGCACTTCAGGTTGAGCTGGTGCAGTTTTTGACTGCATAGATAAATAGGTAAGAGATAAATAGCATAAATAACTTTAGCATCATTGGACAGCTTTCGAATAGGCTTTGCAGCATCAGCGTTGCTTTAGTACCATGCGCTATTTTCTTTAACGCGTTCCCTCGTTAAATAACTTTTTCGTTAGTCCAATAAAGAGCTGCATTCAGGCACCATGTTTTCTTTATATTACGTGTGTGCTGTAAAGACAAAGTTAAGGTTTATATTCAAATTGGAGCTCAGTCGGGAATTTGGGGCTCAGTGCAAGTTAGAAGTACCACAAATTCTCTATAATTACGGCCGTTGAATGTTTTTCTTCGGAAAGAACCACGAAGTTTTGCATACCACTCCAGGCACTGAATTCCCTGAGCCATTTATTGAAGGCGTTCAGTTGTGTGTCAGGCAAATAATGACATTGACATGGGAAAGCAACCTGACGCGACACGGGAGTTTTGATTTGCTATATTTCATTGGAGTTGGTGTAGTAAATTTTCCAAGTGAGTGCAACACCACTGCTCACGCGTTCAGCAAATATGGCCACGATATGAAAACTACATAATCTTCGCACCAGTAATATTTGCCGACCACAACAAAAAAGCCACGATAGGCGTGAACAAACCTGAAACGTTTTTATAGAAAGCACCTGCTCTATTCAGAAAGTACCTTCAGGCTACACATTAAATTGTCGAATGCTCGTCCGACAAGCAGACGTGGGGTGGAAGCTCAGCACGTCTGAAGAACTTACAAAATGCATAAGTACATACAGACCACATTCTATAACTACCCTAGTTGTATTAAGGCGACGCTGCACCGTATCTTTAGGCGTTATTACCGCATTGATGGAAAGACGCCGAGCAATCAACATGGAAGGCCAGCGTCTTGAGGCTTTCAGCTTCGTAGCCTCTCTTATATCCCTGCACACGCACTTATGTGTAGCAAAGTTTTTGCAAGGTTGCCTACAGATCTTTGATGCCATGTTTTATGATCAGGAAAGGATTAGCGGTGCTCAGACTAAGGCCAACCCCCTTATTCAGAAATGCTCCTTGATTTGAACTTGACTTGCCACTGCCTTCAATTCAGCGCATTTGTCCTGCCTTGGCACCGCCTAAAGGAGTAGGTTCGAAATGCGTTTGGGCACCATTGAAGGCGGTGGCATGTCAAGTTGAAGACAAGGAGCGTTTCTGAATACGGGGCTAAGGCCTTCGCCGAGTGTATGTGTTTAGCAAAATTGTTACTATGGGAGAACATTGCGTTTAGCAAAAGTTGTTAACAATTTCAAGTACGAGGAACTATACTATGGGAGAGCATGCAGCTGTCCCATGGACCTCAAGAATGTGTTTAAAAAAATGTTGAACGATTTCGAGTACTTCGTACTTAACTTTGGGAGAGCACTGAGCCGTTCCACTAAAATTTACGCAAACCTCCCACTGCCTCAAGAATGTGTGTTGAGAAAAATTATTTAACAATTTAGAGCACTTGGTACTCTACTATAGAAGAGCACAAAGCCAACCCTTGAACCTGAATGTGCGTTTTGAAAAAAATCGTGAACAATTTAGAGTACTAGGTGCTTTACTATGGGAGAGCATAAAGCCATCTCGTAGGCCTCTTACGCTGCCTCCTGGCAGGTACGATCTTTGTTTTTAGAAAAAAAGGTTTAACGATTTACAGTACCTGATACTGTACTATGGGAGAGCTGAAAGCCGTCCCCTATACCTTGATGGATCTGCAGCTCCGCATATTGAGAGATTTCAGCCGTAGTTTTGCGAGACATAATTTTTATAAAGAGGGCAAAGCGGTGCACATACACGTGTATGTAGACAAATTCAGCCCTCAAAGGTGCTTTGGCGATATGTCTATTTGTTTGCACCATTTTGTAATTTGTAGTGCTCCACCAACTGTGGACTGATGGGTGATTCATCTTTAAAGATTTGCTAATATTGGCCTTTTATCTAAATCACATGTAACATTGAAATAAAACGTTTTTTTGCGGGAATTCATTGCTTAATTTCGTTGTTTCATGCATGACCGTGTCTCTTGCCTGTAGCAGTAATAGGGCTGCACTGCTAAGAATGCGTATGCTCTTCCCAGCATGGCGAAAGAAAGAAGTTAGGAGCCAGCATTGTGTAAAGCGGATAAATAAATAAATAGATAACTAAATAAATAAATAAATAAAAGAAGGCAGGAAAGAATAATAGCAGGCCTGGAAAGAGCACACCAAGCATTCTCCCGAGATGGGAAGTGCTCTTGATTTTTAATGCCAGCATCCTTTCTTCGGCATTTGCACGCGTATGAGCAGGCGCGAATGCTGACAAATAGTGGCCAGTTCTGTTTCATTACCCAAGTCAGAGCACCTCACAAGAGGGCATCAGCGTTTGTCGTTGCCCACGTTAATCAATTAATTCATGTGGTTTTAAGAAATACACTCATACCTTGCCCTTGAGATAGCGAGTGAAGCCCCTGACCGACACTTGAAGCGTTAATATCTACCCATATAGTGCTGGTTTGTATACTGCTATTACCGGAAAGTAGCTGATAAAATGCTACCACTATTTTAAAGAAATATTCTCAGCAGAACATCGGTTTATCAACGGCAACTGAACTCGTGCTCGGTTGCGGAGGTGCTTGTCTCAATATTTTTGACGTGATTGGCTAAATGCATTGCACAGAAATTCGCTTAGGTCAAACGCACACCTTGAAGCATGTACTGATACGCACGATCAAACACTTATCGGGCCGACAGCAGTAAGCAAAAGGCTACAGTTACAATTCTTTCCACTTTATTTTGGGAAAAACTAGTTATCGGATTTGATACTTTTTTTTTACAGCCAGTGTTGCTTTGCTTCCCTATTATACATTTCGTAGGGTATTCTTCATGTATGGATCTGCAAAAGAAAATACATTTCACATATAGTATTTCCTTGTTGTGGCTACCGTCCAATAGCTAGAGAATACGCTTGAGCTCACTAGGTCTCAGAAATTATTCTAGCGGACACTTTATGAGATATTCATTTTAAGACTTTCTGTATTAGCTATTCTTAGGTTGCGTTCTGATAATGGAACAGCTGTATTTCGAGGAAGGCACATGGTGGTAAACGCATACTCTGCGTTTATACAGTAAAGATCTCGACCTACACTAGTCGGGATTCAAACTCATGCAGGTATTTTCTTTTATTGTGCAAGTAATAAGTTATATGTTAAGACAGCAGAAGGCATATATTATAAAAATATGTAACATACGTGACTGATGTGTTGTGGACAATATGTCAGGCACTTCAAGAGCGTTCAAGCAATGGTCTTGATTCTGAAATGGAAGGAAACCGTGCTTCACTTCATAAAGAATCGCTAGCTCTGTGCGTCGCAGAAACATAAATGAGCCCTTCAAGTGGTGAAATCATGCATTAGACAGCTGTGCGTTCGCAAAATGTTCAAATTAAAAATAAACACAATGCAATGCCTGCTGTCACAAAATACCGTTAAAAGCAATATCATCCCAGTTTTAATGAAAGAGCTTATTAAACTTTATTTGACGGTTGCCCTACAGTTGCTATGAGGAACTTCATTCTTATGGGACAAGACCTCATGTAAAACTATCATTACCGTTATGATAAAGTAGCCATTGAATCACTAAGCTATTGAGGCCTTGTAATCAGGTCCCCCTCCCCCATTTCTATGTTAAAATGATGCACTATTTATTTTTTTCATCTGCTGATCACTTCCCAGCAGAACTAATGCCACGAACATTGCAACAATTGTGTCATTCACTATCGAGCTGCGTCGTTCCCTCCATTGGTGCTCATGGCGTGTCCAAAGAAGTTGAAATCCCCCGCAACATTTTTTTGGTGAGTCACACTGCGATATGACACACCTATGAAACTAGTATTAGAAATGTGATTCAAAAATATTATTTTCAAAATGTTAAACGCGTATGTACATAGCAGTTCTGTGAGCTGTAACTAATACCACACATACTAACATTATTTTCAAGCTTAGAGGGTACAACGAAATTCTTAAGTTTTTACCATTTCTTTCGAAAGCACTTCTGACATATTTAAGGTGCATTTAAAAAGTGTAAGAAAATTATTCATTTGTTATATACATATTTCAGTACGTTGCTTTCAAAAAGTTTCGCTTGAGATTAGTTTCTACATGATGCCCCAGTTGTTAAAGATTTGCAGTATTTTGCGTTTATAAAGCAGTTGATCCTTCAATCATGTAAAGTTCTGCTACAGCGTATGTTTTTCAGTTTCTTTTACAGGAAATACGACTTGTCAAACCTGCTAACTAAGGTAGCTATACAATGAGCGAACTGAGTTAAAGCTCCTTCATACACCTATTGCTATGCATGTAATTTCTAACCACATACCAAAATAAAGGTACTCCCTAATGCAATTCAGTAGGTTTGGAATAACGCCGTGAACCAAGGGCCACGATATAGGAGGAAAGGCGTGAGTAATTCTTTGTGATCACGTTACCTTTTGATACTAACATTAAAAGTTTAACGCGCAACAATCAAGATATAAGTATGAGGCACATAGGAGGGGCATACCCCTAATTAATTTCGCCCACTCAGGAGTTTTTAACGTGCACTTCATTGTCACTACACGCAGTGGTGTTCGCACTTTGTCGCAACGAATTGCAGCAGCAGTGGCTGAGAATCTAACGGCCGAACTTGTGTGCTTTCTTATGCAATTTTCTTGAAATTTAAGATCCACCCAAATAAAAAATTCCGTTTTTGTTGCTTTGGATTGACTTAGAACCCAAAACAATACACGTACTATAAGAGAGAACAGCCATACGTACCCCTTGGCGCCGGTCACGGCGACTCCGGAGAGGGCAGGCATGCCATTGGGTGTGATGAGGCTAGTCGCTGGTGCAGTAACTCTAACTCCAGCGACAGGGCCTGCAGAAACAACACCTCCACCTGGGCGTACAACAGAGGAGACAGATCCGGGTCTAACACCTCCGAAGCTAGGTCCGAAGCCACCGTAGCTGGGCCAGAAGCCACCGTAGCTGGGCCAGAAGCCTCCGTAGGAAGAACCGAATGAACCGTAAGGACCATAACTGTATCCGGGGAATCCGAAGGAGCCTCCGTAGGAACCAAAGCCTCCGAGGGAACCATAACCGAATGAGCTCAGAGGGCTGCCGTACAGACCAGAGTAGCCGGGGTAACCTCCAAGGAGGCCTGAAAGGCCACCGAATCGTGGGAAACCTCCGTATGATCCCATGAGACCGCTAAGGCCAGAATATCCACCTAGAAGACCGGGGTATCCGAGGCTACCACCGAGCACGCGTGATCCTCCGAGACCACCGTAAAAGCCACCCAAGCCAGAGTAGCCACCAAGAAGTCCTGAGAAACCGCCAACGCCAGAATAGCCACCTAGCAGACCGGAGTATCCGAGGCCACCACCGAGCAGACGGACTCCTCCGAGACCACCGTACAAGCCACCCAAGCCAGAGTAACCGCCAAGAAGTCCTGAGACGCCACCAAGTCCTGAGTAACCTCCGTATAGACCTGACAGACCACTCAATCCGCCATAACCTCCATAGAGCCCCCCGAGTCCGCCGAGTGCACCGAATCCTCCGCCGAGACCAGAAAGAGCACCATATCCACCGTATCCACCCATAAGGCCTCCATAGCCACCACCTAGCCAGCCGCTAGAGCCTCCCCATCCCAGGTTCCAGTAGGCCTGTCCTTGAGCGGCTGAAAGGAAACGAGAGTAGTTTTTTATATAAACGGTTACGTGGTCTCATGAAAAAAACGAAAAGGCATAAACTTTGTTTTACAGCATTCACTTATGGGGAACGAATATATCCTAAGGCATACTTCATAGTGATCAGTGATCACCAAAATTGAGCTTGCTCTGGCAAATAGCGTATGTCTCATTCAACCAGCCCGCCTATAAAATAGCCATGGTGAATACATAGATGCAGAAAAGCTGAGAGTGCATTTTTATAGGCTGTTAAAGAAGCTTGCTGACGAAGAGTTGCCAGCAGCATATCATTTTTACACCTCTTTCTCATTACAACGTGCTGGTGCCTTGGCACCATGCACTATATTTGGACTAGCAACTATTTATATTTGCTCATAGCTAATCTCTGGGAATAGCTCTGATATGGATGCCTATCCTTCATTATTCTTTGCACCCAATCAGTGACTGCTACTAATTACGCTTAAGCCTCATTTAACTCCCTCATAATACATTCGATAAATATTTATCAAAATGATCAACCTTTTTGCAGCTATGAGCAGGAAATAATTGACTTGGGTTACTAGACTGACCGATGAGTCAGACTTTAATTATAGCAAACATCTTAAACGGTTGACTGTGAATTCATATGTTGAAGGGTCATTTCTTCCTGTCTATTTAATTTGTACAACCGGTGTCAAAAAAGTGGTCCAGCTAGATCACATAGCAAGTGCTGCTGAGAATATATTGGGTGAAATACTTGGGCAGCCAGAAAATATAAAGTATATATTTTGGAAATGCTGCAAAGAAAGTTGTCTCTCTCTCTCTCTCTCTTTCTCTCTCTCTCTCTCTCTCTGGAATTGCTGCACGAGCGCGAACACTATAAAGCTGAAAAATGTGTGCGGAGCCGGCAAAGAAAAGGGAGGAGTAATCATCCTACTCAGTATTTGCGAATGTCATAAATAACAATATAGGACACCGAAGCATTCTGAAAATACAAAGCAGAAATACTCATCTACATCAGGCACATGTTTTTCAGAACGTGTTTTAAACTATATGGCAATATATACATCGGCACTTTACCGTTTAAAGGAGCAATTATTATCAAATTTTCTCGTGCATTCTTGCGTCAACGAGTAAAAATCAACCCCTTAGTAGAAATTGGCGACTTATTACGCAACTGAGAGGCGAGTAACAACTTCTGTTATCGATTTATATCACTTACATCTAGCACAAAATAAAGTAACTTCCACGCTACGGACACGATTCAAGTTTGGGCAAGAGGACCTACGCACACCAAGCAATCAAATTAAGGGCACATCTTAACATCTGAAATTTGTTGTCAGTTCTCCTTTAAAGGGCCCGTAAACCACCCAGAGGAAGAAATAAAGATGTGGCGTTGCAGTTGTGTACGAGTCTACAGTCAACACTGGTGGAATTCCCCGCGTTTTCTCGTTTCGCTCTTTCCTTCGCTAGGCAGCGTTCTTCGGTTCGTTTGATCACCTCTCCTAGTGCCCCTCCTCAGCGTCGTAAGTGAGAATGCAACAGGCGCTTGTATTTTCTGGCAAAAACAAAAACAGGCTTTTTTTCTTCCAGTGGCAGCGTCTTTTGTACGCAGCGTCGTTTGTATTCTACGCAGCGTCAGTTGACGTCATGCCAGCTGTTCTCGATGTAATAAAGGCACGAAGAGCAGCATGCCAGCGTTCGTTCGTGGTTCACGGGCCCTTTAAGCGCGTGAAACAAGATTTGGGGTGGCTTAGCAAGATGGCACTCGAAAGGTGGCACCGCCAAGTTGCTCACGCAAGTTGTTCTGGCTGCTTCACCTCAGCCGCATCTCATCGCCTACGTAGTGACATGAACTGAGAACTCGGCTTTACGTGTGCTGTACGTGATCATGGCAGCTTTGTTAAAAGCCATGAATTGCTTTTGATTGACCTACTTTTCAAATTTCATCCCGGGTCGCTGTTTTTCATGCAATTTTCGTACAGCAATAACTGAGCAGCAACTATGCTTCGTGGTGATTCGACCATTCCAGCGACGATAGGTGGCGCAGCAGTAGGTCAAAATGGCGGACGAGACGCTGATGTCGCGAGCACGCATGTCAGCGTCGCAGAGCATGAACACGCGTTCATTGGTTCATGACTACTGAGAGACCGAACTGCGTCGCAGATTATCACCGTGTGACAGCTTCGGAGCACGGCTATATGGCGCCGCCTGCGTCGCTGGAATGACCGAATATCTTGATAGTGCCTAATCTGCTATGTGGAAGATTTGTTATTGATTCAGCAATATTAACTTAAACATTCAATTTTGTCAAAGCCGGGGTTTCGTTGACGTGAGAACAATACCCTATGCACGTAGCAAACGGTAAAGCGCATCCCACAGTATCAATAAAACTTCGGATGTGTAGAATAGCGCACCTTAAGCACTTGCGTTGTTGTCACTGTTACTGCGCATGCGTCGTAACGCGAACCGCTGTTCATGCTTGCGGCCCACCCGCAGAAATTCCGGAATAGCGTGTGGCGATCACGGCCTGCGAGGCCCGCTAAGTGCTGCGCGTAGCTTCTGTTTATTTGGGTTTGAGGTCGGAATGAAAGACCCAAAATTTTTCCCAGGGGGAGCAAACACTATTCTAAACCTCATATGGTGCCCGGAAGTAAAGCAACACCCGCAACGCCCGGTAATGTTATTCTAAACGCCCTACTATTAACAAGGAATGATTCCGCCAAAGGCTGTTTCGTATTACCCTAGCTAGGACTGCTTATCAGCAGAGCTTTTTTTTTCTCTTATAATTAAATCAGCATTCACCAACCTTATCATCAAACACGATGCGCTTTCACGTTCGTCTACACATACCAACTCACTCTTGCCGTAGTGATATGATTAATGAAGAGGGAAAGAAACATGTCAATGGCATCATCATCATGCGTTCTTGTTATACTTGCAATCTTCAGCGATAAACTGCACGGAGTAGTTAAACATTAAACTACCTTACTCTGCGCCAAACACTCATTAGACGACATATGATGACGGAGAATATAAACAGAAAGTTTTTATTTTCAGAACTAAACACAACAGTCCCTGCTTTCGTTTCGAAAGCATAGTTGAGAGGGACTTGAAAGTTATCTCACATCTTTTTTTACGGCCTGAAATAACATAACAGCTTTTAAAACAAGAATGCCCATGTTCTGGAACTGGCATTATAAACCAGAAGTTTTAACGAAACGCCTACTGGAACAACATTGGCCTTCGTTTTTGCCGCCCCAGAGTAACGAAGCCGCTCCGTTGCCCTTTGCCGGGTTTTACATACCCTTTCTGCCGAATTATTCAAGATTTTAATACTGGGAGAATCATGTTTGATTATCTGTTGTTTGATTCACACTTGATAATAAAATATTCGGACAACCCCCCTCCTTTTTGTTTCCTGATTGAAACAACAAACACACTTTCAAATATGTGAGTTGAAATTAGTCTACTACTACATACGCCAATTCTTAGCATTCGTGAAACTGCTTGTAATTCATGTAGTTCAGTCTAGGTGGCAGCCCAATGCCGTGTTCGTCCTTCTAAATATGGCCAGAACACGTTGAAGTTTAAGATATTGAATCGCAGCGCCTGCTGCCTGTATTATCTGTAATGTTCTCGAAAGTTCATTGCTCTACGTTTGGTAGACGAATGGCGTTTTGCAAATGGTATTTTTTTTCTTTTAGGGTGGGGTTGATTCTGAAGTTATAAAAACTGCAACACTATCAATAGCCTTGCAACCACCCTAATATTTACAATAAATAATGCTGCAATACTACAAGCAAGAGCGTTTTTTTTTTCGTAGAGTTTTCGCTGCCAGTTATCGCATGCACTCTATTCCCACAGGATAAAAGTGTAAGCGGTGTTTGCATAGCGTATATTAAAATAATAAGATGTATTCATGCGGCGCACACAAACCGTCCCTGTCTTATTGTTCCAATTGTTCCGGAAGATGCTGAAAAGTATGGCACGTTTGTGAAAGCTTTATTGTGAGGCTAAATTTCCTGAATATAGATAGCAGAAGTATGTATGCTCAGCGGTAGTATGGTAGCTGCTGTCCTTCTTTTTTTAAAAATTACATAAGATTACCATATGTAAAAGAAGCACGTGAGACACAACATCAGGATACATGGGTTTCACTCGTATGCGTAGCACACATGTAAGTATACTCACCAAAGCCAAGGAGGCAGACGATGGCAAGAACCTTTCCGTGCATGGTGGAGGATCCTTTGTCTTCCTGTCTGCAACGCTGTACTGCAGGGCGTTGTGCTGTGAGACGGCTATGGTACCGAGTATATATAGAGCAGTAGACTGCAATCCCAGAATTCCCCAGCGTTCAGGTGTTGTTGTCTTGTGGAAGTGTCTCTCATTGTCAGCCCCTGCTACACTGGTTTATAATAAAAAAAAGTCAAGGGCAACGCAAACAATAAAAGCAATGTCGTTGTTTCGAAATTTGCGTAATAATTGCGCATACAATGCTCCGGCATTGCAAGCTGGAAAAATAAAGGAAATGACGTTGTAGCAAGCAGCATAACAATATATTTCAGGAAGAGCGGAAGCTGAGCGGGATTGTGTTAAAAGTGTATCCACGCAAAAAAAAAAAGAATCCGAAAGGGACATACGAGCATTTATTCATGATGCTATTGACCTGGCTTATTAAAAAGACAATTTCTGTGTAAAAAAAGAAATCATATTGTGGGGTACTACGCCTCGAACCATGATCTCATTGCGAACCCCATGCACCGCATCGGGGAGCACCAGAATAATCTTTTCTGCGGCAGTTCTCGTTATCATGTTCCTACATCTTTACCCCCGCCGCGGTGGTCCAGTAAATACGGTACTGGGCTGCTGACCCGCAAGTCGCGGGATCAAATCCCGGCAGCGGCGGCTGCATTTTCGATAGAGGCGGAAATGCTGTAGGTCCATGTGCTCAGATTTGGGTGTACGTTAAAGAACCGCAGGTGGCCAAAATTTCTGGAGTCCTCTACTACGACGTTTCTCATAATCATACAGCTGCGTTCATTCTTACCAAGAACCCCAATAAAATGGGGCCACTGAAGCTGGGAAACAAACTCGCTTTTCGAGAATGCCAGCCCTTGTGTGCCTGAATAATGATAACACAAATATCGTCATAATTTAAGTTATTCCTGCGGTGAAGAGTACCAGTGAATGAGAGCATTCTCCTTTTATGATATAAATTATTTTAGGGGTGAAGCTCTTTACTGTCGAGGCTTGTCAATTGGCGTTGTGCGGCGTAGCAATCTCTAAAGATGACGATGATGATGACGATGAATAACACGCGCGTTCCAGACTACACGATCTGTTTATGTCCTCGCCGACCAGCACATGAATGGTACCCACTATAGGCCACGATGGAGATGAAGACACTGATGACAAGGCAGAAGATGATGATCATGTTCATGAACGACTGGCTTGTGCAGTATCTGAGCTCTAGGAATGCTCTACTACTAATTTTATAATTTTAAATGACTGCAAACAATCAAAACCTTTTTTTTCTTTATTGCCTTCTTGACTACAGGTCAAGCTAATATGACAATCACTATCACACGTGTTTAATGCGTGACAACGCGTCAAACAAAGATATTACATCTTCATTACAGTCGGTAGTCTTATACACATCTCGCACTTTTATAACAGCTTCCACGAAACACTCATTAACGGATAGAACTCTCACATCACAGTGTCTGTACGATAGCATACTACGCCAAACCGAATGAAGACGAAGTACAAATATAACATCCAAATTTCGCACAGAACTATCACAAGACAAAAAACGCATTCCATATGAAGTAAGTGGTAAATCTTTTTTTAAAGTCCTCTGTAAAATGTCCTAAAAGAAAATAGCGTTCTTACAATCAATAAACACATGTTCAATGGTCTCAGGTTTGTTACACAGGAGACAGCTGCTTCCCCATGGTACATACATCCCTCTCTCTTCAAGCCACGTTTTTACTGGCAAGGTTTCCGTATGAAGTTTAAAAAAGAAGGTTTTCACATTAGGTGGTATACAAATGTTTTTCACTCGCTTTAGTACGTCATGACCATATGATTTTTAATACCTTGAACGGTACAGGGGCACAGGAGAACATTCTGTATTATGTCTTTCATAAGGCGCTTTCTTTTCACATTAGTTAGGTAATCTATCGAAAACCTCGCCCTTAAGAAACGATATGAGAACACAACCTCGCGCAAGAACGGTGACAAGGTGTGTCGTTCTCGCCTGTCTGAAGATACAAAGAAGTCAGGCATGTGGTGTAACAGCGTTGTTTGAAATAAAGAACGTAAAAAAGAGTCTCTCTGGTCTCTAATGAGCAGGAAACGTGATATTACTTGGTTAAGAAACAGATGGCACAGAGACAGCCCTCCTTGTTTAACTCGCCGAAACAAGTTCGTTCTAGATGTTCTCTCCCACGTAGAGCTCCAGATGAACGTGGCGAATATCCTGTGGACTTTGTGAATGGTTTTACGCTTACAACTAAGTACTTGCAAACAATCAAAAACCACTCGGGGAATGTGCCCAGAGCTCCTCGTTGCCAACTTCAGGCTGGATCCGATACCATAAAGCTGTAATACTGCAGAGGCAAAACGAAATTCACAACTCAACGCAACATACAATTTATGACCAATATACATTGCATATAAGCGCACACTGCTTGGCACTCATTTACATGCGTGAGTGCTCAATGTGAGTGGTCAATTGAGGTAACACTAAACGATCTCATTGCTTGACCAACTCATCATCATTCACTACGTGGATACATCGTGTTTTTGTTGTTGTTGCGAGCCATGTTACTTGTTATTTGTTTTCTAGGTTATATCAGTTCACAGTAAAAAAAAGTGTCAGCTTTGCCATAAAGGCGAAGCAATGAACGCGATAGCAACCATTTGGAAGGTCATGCGCAGATTGGCACAGCCTTTTCGCAAACAGAAAATGTGTAATGATTGAATTGACCTTTGTGCACCCGGTAACTACAGCAGAATCGTTCCGGTGAATGCCCAAGGCCAGCCAAAACGTACGATTGTCCCCACCGCGAGATAAGCGCACGCGTGAGCGTCCGCCCTGCCCGCTCTCTAGCGGGGCTAAGTACGCGCGGGGGGTGAGAGCGCGTGCCGCCACGTCGTGGCAACGTGGCGACGCGCGCTCATTGGACCATCTTGCTGGTAATGCTAAAAGCATGACAATTATTTCCCCCCGAGATGCCCGTCACCAGCGGTAAGGGGTAGATATAAATAGCTTGTCGTTTGAACGTTGAAGGAGGCGCTCCTTCGTGGCTCAGTGGCTCACGCCTCGCAGTCACGTTCAGAGGTTGCAACTTCGATTCCCCGCACCTGAGTCTTTTTCTAGATTTTTCTTTCTTTTGTGCGTTGTCATATATATAGATACCTATACATATACGGTGAGTGACGGTGACGCCGATGAAAACGTCGACACCAATGCCAGCGGCAACATCCAGCCAAGAGTATTCATATAATTGCTATCGCAATAAAAAAACGTACCCTCGAAGAACACAAATACTACTTGTTGAGATTATGATTTGGTCACATTTATTGCATAACTTGCTTCTGAAACTTGTTCTTTAACTAGAAACCATTCAAAACCGCATTACCTGTACATTGTATACTGAGGGAATAATACGAGCAACGACAGAAGTGGCAAAGGAGGAAGACGCCCGATAGGCATTTTATCTGTGCCATTTTTCTTGCCGCCCCTTATTTAGTCAGACGAGAAAGTACATCAATAATATCTGTTTGCAATTACGTAGTGTTCCATCTTATAATGAAGTCATTTTTGTATTGATTACGCACTCTGAGTACCGCTTAATGTTATATTGGCACCCAAAAATTATGTACCAAGTTTTCAGAATTTTTTGCTTCTCGGCTGTTTTTTTGCCAGGACAATAGTTACAACACGAGGACAGAACGACGACAAAGAGACAAGAAATGCATGAAGGTATTTTTGTCATCGTTCTGTTCTCGTGCTATAACTATCGTCATGTCATACCAACTAGCTCAAGCTGCCGCACTCCTATGTTTCTTGGCCATTGGTTAGCTGGCTTTGGAAGCAATATTACGAACATTTACAGGCAAGAAATTTATGTGGGTAGCGCACGCTTCTCTGTATTGTGGTTGATATCGTATATTGGCCAAGAACAAAAAAAAAAGAGAGATAGCGAAAAAAGGGATAGTTATGATACGATATCTGTAGCATTGGTGGCCAATCGTAAATGATATCGCAAAGAGAATAAATACATGTCCCCCACGTGAATCTTATTCCTACTTTTGCACTTGAATGTTCGCAAGTGTAAACACAATTCACCATTTCATCGACTACGCTTTGTCCTTTCTCGTTCATGTCTCAAAACTTTCTCTTTTTTTCAGGCAACGAACACGAGAAAGTGACCCCGAGAAAAAGAACAATGTCCCATGCAAATCTGTTAAAAAAAAGGCACAATGACGTCATCAATAATGCTAGAAACACGGTTGTGCGAAAAGAGAGCATTGCTTTCTGCGGCCTCAGATGACTTTGTGCTGCTGAAACAATAGGAATAAATAAACCAACATGAAAACGAAACAAATCCTAAGATCAGTGCAAAACAACGGTGGACGCCTGCTGTTAACTCTATGCGTAGCAGCGCTGAAGCTTTGCAGCAAAGTTTAAGCACGGCAAGGGCTTAAAATTAGAATCTATTCTCTCATGTATCAGTCTCTACCACATACAGTTATGAAATATTTCTTCGAATATAATGCGTAACTGCTCTCGCATGGTTCAGTACCAAGTACTCGACACAGAATGGCTGAAGTGAACCCTTATTTCATAGCATCCATTTGTTTGGCAACCGAGCACCTTTTTGCCGACGCTGAATTTCTCTATCTGTTCTAACATCTCTTCATGCCACAGGACTATTTTAGATATGGTACTTCTGCGGAGGGGGTTGATTTGTAAGTTCATGAACATCCAGCGCTTCGTGTTTATGTTCTTGCTATTAGCCCGACAAAGTGCACGTTTGATCGTATTCTGTTACCAGAGCTAATTCTAAATTTCTTTAGTCCCTTGGTAAGAACACTCATAGAAATCCTATACGTTGATACACTAAGCTAAGTTTCTGAGGCCTGACTGAAAAGGAAGCAAGTCAGATGGCACTTACATAGGTTGTCTGTTGAAATAAAACAAAAGAAAGTGGTATACAACTTTTATAAGATCGCCACACCAGTGTTTTCAGAACGAATGCACAAGTTTGCTAATTTTTTTTATTTGAGGTGTTCTGTA